CTATTTTAATAAGATTTGAAAAATTAAATTCGAGACATCTCGGTGTGGCTGGCCACAACACGAAACCGAAGCAAAAAGAGCAAAGTATGATCTCAAGTAGATTTGTTTCAGGTAAAAAATGAGCATCCCTTTTAACCAGGAGTTGTAAAATACTTCAACGTTTGATTTACAATTCATCTTGGAAAATGAAAAATAGATTCTCACTGATATTTTAATAGATCAAAGAATAAATTGGTCTCGTGATGATTCTCATTCTGTTCTTCAATCCTCCAAAAAATCATTTAAAATTTCCTTTTCTGAATTTTTCCACTGGCAAGACTGAAGACTTTCAGGGCTCAGGGTGTCGGTTTTCAGCTGATTTTCAGTGAAATGTCGACTGGTTTAATTATTTTCGTGCGCGGGCTTATACTGTCACCTAAGTCAAGCTTAACTCTGTAGATTTCCATCAAGGAATCAAAATCAATTAAGCGATGATTGAGCTGGTTAGCCGTTGACTAAAGGGCCGACCATTTAACTTTTGAGGGGGGGGGGGTGGGGGTGATTTCTGGTCAGCAAGAAATTTTTTTTCTAGAAATCTGCTGTGCAGGATATTTTTTTCTGATCTAAATGCTCTTCTTTTTCTGTTACATTTGGGCTGCATGCAATTTTTTTCTTCCAACAAGTTAAATGGTCGGCCCCTAAGTTCACTAAATCAAATGAATTGAAAAGGGAACATATTTGCGAGGGCTCTGTTGGTAAAGTTAAAAAGACCTACATAATTCTTCAGATATCGCCAACAAACAGGTTAGGTTGTTAGATTTTGACGTGCACGTTATGCATGCAGAATGCATAGGGTAGCTAGATACATGAAATTGGTTCTATAAAATGGATTACATTCTTATCCTCTTAAGTGATATATATGAATTTATGATTAGTTTTTCGCAGAAATTTAACCTTTTGAAAGCTGACGGAACAAATTTCAGATTATAAATTAATTCCCGAGAGAAGTAGTACCCAAATGTACACACAAACTTGAAATTATTTGTTTATTAAAGAACACGATTGCTTTTTGACAGGTTGATAAATTTTGAAAAGTTTAGTGTTCGACTTCGACAGCCTCGAAGTTAAACTATCTCTCGTTTCTTTGTACAAAATGATGGTCAAATACCTATGCGGGCTACAAGAAGAACAAAATTGAAAAATGAGCGTGACCGAACTCAGCAGGTAAAGATTACCGTGATAAGTGGTCTAATCCATATTGATTCTTACTGGGCCCAATTCGCCGAAATTTAACAAGTCTTTAAGTTTGTTAATTAGTTGGTAGCTAACAACTGAAAATGCATGGAAATCCACACGACAAACAGTTTAAACGAGTAATGAACTCTACCGTCTGCAAATGATGTTATTAATTTTGTAGGCAAACGAATTTCATTTTCTGGTGGGTGTCGAGAACCCGAGCATCGTAGATTACTCAGACGGCGTTAAAACATTTAGTAGGTATTACTTGTAGCATGCAATCCTTGTGAAACGAGGTGATTAAGATGTATATATTGGTCAGCTTGCTAACCTTCAGGTTCCTTACTCTTTTCGCCGCGGCTATCAAACTGCTACGAGGCTCACGGCTCCTGAATACGAAAAGAAAAAACAATAACAACATCTAGGTAATCAATGAATGTGAATCAAACCACTTGCTGTTTAAACGGCAAAGTTTAACTTTAAATCAATACAGAATTTCGTGATATTGTCATGTCACTAACTTTTGAGTTGATGGATTTGGAAGACGATTTCATTTTCAACACCTGAATACTTATGTGTGTATTATCTTAAAAAGAACAAGGCGATTCTAGAAAATAAATTCCACCTCCTGCAGAGAAAATGCAAGTTACACCATTAACTCCTGTGTAAACTTCGGTCAAAGCTAAGACCAATAGACCGGTTACAGTAGATCGCGATGAATTTTTCCTTCTTTATCCGATAACACTGAACGTAAGCGTTTTAAGTGATTGATTGCCTTTCAAGTGGTCATCGATTCTGTGCTGTAAAGGACTGCGATTTGTTCCACTTGAATCAGCGCAAGTGGTGTTGGATGGGTTTTATCTGATTTATTAAAGAACCGCTTCTGTATCTTCATACAGAAGCAGTCGTAACTGGAAATCGTCATCTATGTTTGAGTTCTTTTTAACTTTTTGTCCATCATTTATCGGGTACAAAATACCATCATTCGCTGCATTTGACGGATGAGAAATGAGCCTGGTGAGCCCAAAAAGGATTAAACTCGATTGTCCAAACCTCTTTTGCCGCCAATATTTAATATTTACAGAAGTAATCAGACCAGAAGAATTTAATAACTCTAATCTATTCTGACTTTGTTTTCTTCTCGGAAGTCGCACTTGTCACAAGTTTTACACGTCATGGAGCTAAACGCATTGTTTGGTTGTAATCCATTCGCTTCGTTTTCACTGTAGTAGATCAGTGTATATTAGCAGAACACGACACGAATTTACACCAACCTGTACACACTCTTTTAGCGGGAGGACTGTAAAACTGAGCCGTACATGAAAACAAATCGTATGACTGTGTATTCGTGATAAGACATTGTATTAGCTCGGTTTAAAGTGGGGTTGACCTCAAAGACGGAGCCGGCTCTTTTTACGAAGGTGAGTCTACTGGTTTTCGTAGAAACGTTCACGTTGTTCTGAATTGAAAACTGACCGTAACAAATTTTATATTTCTTTAACAAGATTACTTCAGCCCTTGTGCAGCGTCCATTCGAATAATGAACTGAGGTGTTCGGGCTGTTTCCGTTAAATTGTGCACTTTGTTGATAAGCGTCACGTTGTTTCTGTTGTTTCGCCGTTTGGATCAAGAGGAAGTGAATTACCTCAAGTATCTTATAACTGTCTGATTTACGAAATGTGGAGACCGGGTAAGAGTTTAAAGTTGAGGCTCAGTAAAAGTACCTGAGCCTGCGATTATGTCATCGGATGTTGTCTGCAATCTGTGAGCCAGGGATTTTCGCTCATGAACATCAGCGAGAAAAAAAAACCCTTTAGTTACACCGTCAGCATTGGTATATCATTTCTATTGAACTTCCTCACAGATTAAAGCGCGAAAACTGCTTGTAAAACTTTGGAAGGAGCATTCGTCATCTTATTACTTCGCTCAGTCACACCAAAGGGCGGCGTGTCGCAATTGAGCATGAAAGTATGGGATTGGAGGTCTAATTCTCCCTACTGATGGCAACATACGTCTTTTTTGTCTAATCCTGAGAATTTTATGTCGAATCTAAACGCTAATTACCGGTCTGTTTAACAATGAAAGTGCTGATTACTCTCCAGGGTGAAAGGGTCGAGAAAATGAACTGCTAATCCCTCGGCTCACACGTTATTATTGTTGATTTACACATAGTAACCAGATCAATAATATTCGCCTCAGCCTTCACTTTCGGGCGATAATTGATCTGTCAGTCACTGATAAATCACGATATTTCTCTCAAACTTGTCCACTAACTATTTTATCACTCAATTACCGATTTTTTCTTTTCTCAAAGTCATTTTCAGTAATAACTCTCCAACTGTGAAGGCACGCTTTCTGGGATTTTCCGCGAACGAGCTTGGGCACAACAGCGCATGTGCAAAATATATTCAGCTGACGCAGATTGGCGGTATTACATGTGAGCAGGCCATTATGATTCACCGGCGGTTTGGTCGCGTTGCAGCCACTCGGCCGATGATAACGAGGAGAAAAATAAAACTCCATCGAATAGTGCAGATTGTGATATTCGTTGCGGGAAAATTCGTAAGTTCCACGCCGTTCTTGTTGTAAACAAGAGAGTTTTAAAGTCGAAAGTTGTTTAGCAGGGCAAACTTCGGATGTTATTACGATAAGAATTAAGCTTTCTTCTGATTCATCGAGCCTCAGTTTTTGATTTTCATGCAGTCTGATGGTTCCTGTAGTAAAATAACGCCTCAGTTTCTAAAGGTTATTTGCTTTTCTGTGACAAACTGACGCGGACCAACCGGCGTTCTGCATTGTGTAGTGTCTTATTTCCGCCACAGATAAAAATTCTGTTGTTCGGCTTTATTAGCTGTTTTACATATTAGCTTCAGAATTTCAGAATGTTTGAATTCTTTATACCGCTGCACTCTTGAAAGAAACTAAGCGGAATATTCTTCTTCATTTGTATGGAAGAAGGAACTATTTCACAAGCATTCGAGAACAATCTTTTCATAACTGAAAGACAAAACAGTGTACCTGGCTTATTGACCTTTTTTCGTTGCATGGGCGACATCGATTAACTTTGCACTTTTATGCACCGCCAGCTGCTTGTCAAAGGATAAAGACACAAAACGACATTTCTATCCAAGTAATCTCCTCATATTCCTCTACTTCACCAGCTGTCATCTTTGAATTGAATCACGCATAAGTACATAAAGTCGAGCCCTTAACAACAAGACCCTTTTAGTCCTTTTTCTCTCTAGAGACACCCCTCAAAAACCAGTCTCGAATTCGTCATCCTTTTGGAAAATTCCCTTATATCGTTATTTCGCGGAAATTAGACAAAATCTGTGGAATTTGTAGGAGCACTATTTAGTGTTTACTTTAACAGTTAACACATGCAAATGGATAATTTCATGCACTGATTCTGTGTGTTTGTTTTGTGCGAAAATTCAACAGTGCCCTCTCCCCTAAAACCCAATGGCATAAGTCCACTTCAAATTATAGACTAAAACCTCTTGAAATTGATGTAGACTGCAGTTAGTCTTGTCAACATTTAATGAGATGTTTTATGAGCCGGTGTGAAGTAATCCCTCAGATTGGAGTATTTGGGAACACATCAGCACATGATTTCAAGTTGATATAGCAGCTGAAACACTAAGAAAACTTGGTAACAAGGATTGGGCTACAATCAGATTGTCTTAATCATTTACGGAATGTGTTCGTTCTCAAACAAAAGTACTAACATCTAAGAATCTCATTTCAGATGCCTCGGTTAATGAATTAATATTTTGTTTCTACAGCGAATGAATGACAATGGATTTTGACTGCAAATGGTCTCCAATGACAGCATCACAGGTACGTTACGATCCTGAATTGATTTGCTTGAGTTCTAATGAAACTTAGTTTAACTGGTACCAGAATTTACGCGAAAGGAGGTTGAAAATAAACAAGCAATGATTAATCAAAACCTATCAATAGTTACAGAAACAAGGACAAAAGTCAGTTTACAGCTTCGTTTTAACCAATACCTTTCGAGTAATTGAACGCTTTTTAATTGTCCGCCGTCATTTTAGCAGTCATGCTTGAGTTTCTGTCGAGCCCCATGAGACGTCGCTACATCAGTCTAGTATCGTTCTCGTGTTCTCTCTTCTAGTAAACCAATATCCTAAACACCATAGTGTAGGAAACCAAAAGAATTACCCTTTCTTGTCTCAGAAGATGGTGATGGAAACAAGAACGATAATATCCTTGCGTCAGAGAATGAACTCCATTAATAATATTGCACTCGATAGTTTACATCTTTGTCCAAGTAAGTAAGATCGACGACAATGGCAGCCTCTCTCTTTCGCTTGTACCTGCATATTTTAAGTTTCAGAAGACTTCTAATTACAAATGCATTGTGTTGCCATTACCTCAACGAAATGAAAATGGGCTAGAGTTCGAAGCGTAAAGCTCGCAAAAACTTTTTGTGGGATGTAAAACCAACGATGATCTAACTGTAATTGAGTAGAAGTTTTATAAAACATCAGGTATACTTTATCTTTTTAACTTAACTGATGGATTACCTTAATTAGATCTTAATAGCAGCCATCCCTTACCATCTTAGTTGATGCTAACAAGACTAAATTCTGCAAGTACATACCCATAATTTTGATTAAAATTTGTTTCCTGTCGAAGACAGAGAAAAACATTTGTGGATTGCAGAGACAAAGGAGTGGTTAATTCTGTTGGTTTCTGTCCTTGGAGCAGATGTGCGTGCGCCACTTTCCGGCTAATTGGACGTTGCCATGATGTTCATTCAGTCAGCTCCAAAAGTCACAAATGTGAATATTTGGTTTTCCTTACGTATATTTTATACTTTCATAAATTTGTAAAACAGGTGTGTTTGTTATATCAGGTATTTTGGCAAGAGATGTCGGCGGATCGTGACATGCTGAGAACTGGAATCGCCGAGCGGGTCCAAGCCGGGCGCTCACCGCCGCTTAGAAGACGGAGAACAAGGGAATACATTCCAAACTCGAGATCAACACAAAGGCAAGGCTATCTGGATCAAAACTTGCACGAAAGCAGTTTATTCACTGATGAATTGACCTACGGAACCGGCCGTGATGTTGGAAGACGTCTGTATCCTGACGAGAATATGAACAATTTAACACGTTCTTCCAGCGAAAACCAACACCATTTGCAGGATATTTTACGAGTTATGCCGGAGAACTCGCATCTGAGCGAAAGGTATCAGATACTCAAAGCGGAGAATAAAATACTCCGCGAGCGTCTGCAAAATGCGCTACAAAGGGAAATGAAGGCTCTCAAGACATTTAAGAGACTTGCTAAAGAAAACAGGCAACTAAAGCTGAATTTGAGGAAATACGAGAGAACATTGCTCGGATTCTACGACGATGACTCAGGTATGTTGCCATTAGAATTAAAATTTAGTGATCTTGGGAAAAAAGCGAATCTATTGGCCTATATTTTTTACCGGCTTTAAAAAAGGAAGATGCATATAAATAAGCAACCTCTCTCAGTCATCAAAACGTACCTGTGATTAGCGGTTTGCGTTTTGCTTGTTGATAACAGAAATCTTTGGTTCAGCAAACAAATTCATTGATGAAGTATTCATAAAAACGCACGATAGCTTCAAAAGAAAATATTAATCATTGTTTGGGTGGATTGCTTGCAATAGCTCCGCTTTTAATTATATATAAACAGTGTCATTTTTACGCACTTAAATGTTCTTCTGAATGCATCGGTCCTGACACGTTTTTTTTCTTTGATTGGATGTAAACAATTCAAATTGAATAGAGCGGCGCACTTTTATTTCCGTAACGTATTCAAGTTGCCATTGTTTGTTTCTCGAATTCTCAAATCAGCCTGTCAGTTTTTGTTCGGTGTTGAGAGAAAGCGGCAAAAGATAAAAAAGGCGGTATTGCATCCTGAAGAGTTTAAATTTGAAGTTCTTAGACCATGAACGATTTTATTCACACGTTTCACACGGAATGACAATGAACTTTTTCCACGGTCAAGTCCAGAAAACACGACAAAAATCTATAACAAAGAAATCTTTTGGCTTTAAAAAACTACTACGCTTCTAAAAAACGAAGTATATTGCTGTGCCATTGGTGAAATTGTATGAACAGTATTTCCGCTTTTAATTTGCTTTGGCTGTAAAAATTTTGTTCTTTCTTGGTATATCTTGTGTACTATACACCATATTGATCTTCACCATAGCCGAACAAACTGAAATATAATTCATGCAATAAGCTTCTTAGAAGAGAAATCTGTTGATATTTTTCACTTTAATTTGATAAGTATTTAATCGTATTTCATCGTCCGTAGCTTCTATCTAAGTCATGAATCTCTCAGAGTCATAACTTGATCTTATCCAGGGAGAGGAAATCTGTCAATCACACGTTATACATCAAAATTGTTAAACTATTTCCTAAGAAAGAGTTTTCCAACAAGCCTGTTTTGTACATTTTAACCGTCTTAATGTTTGTCTCTATCATCATTGTTTTCTTATGCCTTCTTTAAACTTTGGGATGCATTTGCTTGTTAAGTATTAACTTTCCTTTTTGCGCGAGACAACCTGAAATCCGCGGGATTGTGTTTTGATCAGATGAATGTCTAACTGCGGACCCCCTTGGGGACTTAGCTAGCTTATAAAGGAAACGGCAGCATATAAGGAATTTGACATTTGTCCCAAAATCAATTTAACTTACGATTCTCCTGTTCGTTTATTTCTTTTGAAACCATTTCCTGTTTTTTTTTTTTTTTTTATCTCTTTAGTGTGCCATAGATTAATCTTTGTCTTTGACCACGTTCCAGCTAGCGCGTGTTTTGGAGACGTGAGCAGGAAATTTTGACCTTTGATCGAATTATTGTGTGACGTGAAAGACTTGATCCAGAGTAAATCTTTCCAAAACAAATGTTTTGTAAACAGTACTTAAAGTTTTCTAGGATCATTACATAATTTACGTCACTCTGCAGCTTTCCTTATTCATGTGGAATTTACTCAAAGCCCCTAACAGCAAAGTACAAAGCGATAGATTTTTTAAATTGCTTACATAACAACCCGAAGTCACTTTACGATAACAATTACAACACTTTTACCATTGTTGAATGCAAATCGTGAAAAAAATACCCAAACAAACAACTCATTTTGGGTCAGAAGTCGGTGAGTATGTATGCTCAATTGTCTCTTTACCTTGGGAAATAAATTTCCCTACAACTAGTGTCGGAATGAATAGAGGCAGAACCGTGATGGTTCTACCACAAACTGCCTATGACTCTGGAGTAGATAAACCAAAACTTAGGGCTGTAATGCTGCAGGATGCTGCAGGATGCTGCAAGATGCTGCAGGGTGCTGCAGGGTTCTACAGGGTCCTGTAGGATGCTGGAGGATGCTGCAGGGTTCTTCAGGGTCCTGTAGGATGCTGGAGGATGCTGCAGGGTTCTGCAGGGTCCTGTAGGATGCTGGAGGATGCTGCAGGGTTCT